GACCCAGATTTGCATTTCGAACAAACACATGACGACTCATAGTTCGAAGACAGTCAATGTGAGCAAATCGATTGCCACTGCGCCACTCGGGATCATCAGAGTCACTGTCCTCCCCTGACTCATCCTCAGACTCCGATGACGAGCTAAGAAGGCCAATGTCAGAATCATCTGATCCGCTCGCCAACAATTCAAGTGAAAGATCGTCACCTTGAATTTCGAAATTGTCATCGCAAATTTCGTGGCGGCGCCTCTTTCTTCGATCCATGGGATAGACGACGTTTCTTAGGCCTACTCAAGCGCTTACCACTACTTTTATTACCCATCGCTGTGTGAGTCGTCAAACTGATGCAAGTGAACACAAGTATTACCAAAGAACAATGAAATGTCGCTGTACAAGAGAAAATCACATTCAAAGTCATTGTTCCTTGATACGTGACGTAGCCTGTCACGCAGCCCAGCTCAGAACAACCGAAGGAAGTCACCATGACAAAAAAGCCGATCGAAATCGGCAGGGTTGACGAAAAGCACAGAATAATACGGTGCGCTGACAATTGCACAATTTCCAAATTCGGAAATTGTTTCAATTGCATCAACTTCACAACGGCATATCTCAGAAATGGCTGAACATTTTGAGCTCAAATTTTAAATCCAGATCCTGAGGCATTTATGCTTAGGTTAGGCACTCTTTCGGGGCCCAAAGCCCGAATTCGATTTTTGTCCCCTCTGAGGGTGGTCTGCCACCCTAGCTTGTGCATGTGAATGTTGCAGTTCTGTCCGGAATTCACGAAGTCATAAAGCACAACCGTTCAAAATTTTTTTTTTTTTGCCAGGGAGTGAATGCACCAGAAATGGTGCATTCACTCCCTGGCAAAAAAAATTCAAACAAAGAAAAATGGTGGCACCTATGTACAGGGGATCGGGATGGCCCACGCCTGGTATAAAGTAAACGTAAAAGAGAAAAAAATGTAGTACACTCAAACGTCTCTTATCCGGACGCCTCAGATACGGGCATGTCTCTCTACCGGGCACCTTCAGCTTGGGTTCCTATGGTAAAATGCTTCGAATTTGGGGGTTTGAACTTGTCAGCGCCTTCTGGGTTCAGCCTGGTCCCATAGCTCAGTGGTTAGAGCATTGCTCATGACAAGCAGGGTCCCAGGTTCGAGTCAGTCCTGGTGGGTCTGGCGGTTTTTTCTCTTTTCAGGCAGTTCACTTCCCCAACTGATCTTTTGTATTTGAAGTTCTCCCAATCCGTTCAAAAATTAATCACTTTTCTTTCACTTCTGGTAGGGTCCAGAAACTGACCGTGGTTGGTCCCCTGGGGGAGGGAGAAAGACCCAAGTGCCATCAGTATGTGTGGCACGTGTTGTGAGCTGCCTTTGGAGTGAAGAACTTGTCAGCGCCTTCTGGGTTCAGCCTGGTCCCATAGCTCAGTGGTTAGAGCATTGCTCATGACAAGCAGGGTCCCAGGTTCGAGTCAGTCCTGGTGGGTCTGGCGGTTTTTTCTCTTTTCAGGCAGTTCACTTCCCCAACTGATCCTTTGTATTTGAAGTTCTCCCAATCCGTTCAAAAATTATATATTATATTATTATCAATCTGCGGACAGAACTGTTTCGTCCTTTGTGGACTCGTCAGCGTAGCACAGAGGAAATGAGGCCGAACCTGATAGCAATGGAAATAAAAAATTTCCAATCAGGCCCGAACGTACCTTGCCAGAGTGCTCAAACTGACAAGTCAGTGAGCTCTGCATATATTATTATCATATATACATGAACCCACAACTCAATATGTATGTCAAAATGCTCTCATGGTCACCATGGTCACGCAGAGTTGCGGTATGGACCTTAGACACACATTTTACGGACACTGAACTGACCGGCACAGCCTGCTCATGCAAACTGAACTGACCAGTACAATGTACAGTGAACTTCGAATTACACTTTGCTAGCTTCGAATTATCAGCACAAATCCCACACATTTTTTATGTAAGTGGAATCTGTGGGACTTCGAATTAACCGTACATGTCCAGTTCGAGGTTCGAATTATCAGAATTTTTATGTGGGAATCGTATTGATAGAAATCGGTCCTGGAAAACTTTCTCGGTATGTTCGAATTAAGCCATATTCGAATTATCAGGATTCCACCTGTATTGTGAAAAGAAGAAGGACAAAATGTTACGAGTTATGACTAACTGTCCACCAACGTAACCAGATCTTATACAGTCAGCGAGTGCGACAAAATGGCACAAAACTGACAAGGAGTACTGAGACATTCGGCGACCTGTTGCTTTGCGTCGTCGAGTTGCAGTAAGGCCGGTATGTCCAATAGTCTTGCTAGTTTCGTCATCATCCAGTAACTTTCGGCATTCCTTGTTGCCGTGATGCGTAGCTCGTGCTCTTCTTCGTTGCGCTTTCCTTCCCCTCTTGAACCTTTCCGAACCTGAGCCTTCCAAGTTGGAAGGTTGTTGGCTTGTGCCTTGGATAAGTGTTGGAGCTAGGTGTCAGGTCGCCGAATGTCTCAGTACTCCGTGTCAGTTTTGTGCCATTTTGTCGCACTCGCTGACTGTATAAGATCTGGTTACGTTGGTGGACAGTTAGTCATAACTCGTAACATTTTGTCCTTCTTCTTTCCACAATAATTTAATTGGCTCACCATCCGAGTTAAATATTGGTACTACTTCGAAGTACAAAGATGTCGACTGCCTTTCCTTGGCAAAAGACCAGCTCTGGACAGACAACATGGACTGTGGACCCGGGCAGACTGAGCGCCAGGAGACTATATAGCAGGATCAGCTGTTCCCCGTAGTTTCCAGTGGTTTCGGATTTAGCCCAAACAAGAGGTACCAAGATGATGCAATGTTGTTACTTCAAAGGATGAAGGGGCGGCACAAAAGGCATTTGGTAATAATGTAAGTATGGCGGGACCAGGGAGGCAACCGCTACATACAATCTACATGTATGTAACGCAATATCATTGTGTTAGCTGGCAAACGGCATGCTTGGGACGTTGAGTAGAATCTGAAGGTCCGATGCAAAGAAGGAGCTAATTCGTAATCGATCTGACATATCCGCGCGTCACTAGCCTCTGTGTCGAATACGAGCTACCGCAATTGGCACGTCTTCCACTATGGGCTTTATCTAGCTAGCAAAGACTAAATGGCGGATTGAAAAACCAAGCATGCAGGCAACGGCTACCTTAACCGTTGTTGACTTAGGCCGTCTAGACGGTACCAATGATCTATCTCCCTTTCAGCTGTGAGTGTAAATCCCCCCCCCCCCCCACACACACACTCAGAAGCAAAGGCGACGAGGGAGACGAGACGAGCATGTACCACCGCCCTAACAATGTCCAGCTCATTGAAACAAGACAGAAGAGGCCTGTACCACCTCTTGCCCCCTGTGGTCAGAATTGACTATGGGCTATATTCACCTTCAGTACCGTGCCTACTAACATTACGACATGCCGAAGTCACGGATAGGCGAACGAACGCCTTTGTGCCGCCGCGCCCAGTGATGGAGTACTGCCCCTTTGTCTGGATGGGAGCGGCCTCATCCCATCTTGCAAGACTCGACGGTGTGCAAGTCAGGGCCATCCGAGCCATTGCCCCAATGTCTTGGATGTCGAGTCTTGCTCTTCGTCGGATGGTTGCAGCGCTTTGCCTCCTGTACAAGATGCATTGTCCAGATGCACATCCCCTTCTACAGAGGATGTTGCCACCCCAGCAGCTCCAACACCGAACAGTCCACTCCACCCGTAGTACGTTTCAGAGATGTAATGCCCACGCACACCAACTGGCAAATGACCTTCCAATCCATTCCCGAAGCAACCTGTGTCGAGCCTACCCTCACGCACGGTTGTCCCCGTCCGGAACCAGCTGCCCGCCGGAGTCTTCTCTGGTCCATTCTGCACCAAGAACTTGCAACATTTCAAGGTTGCAGCCAACCGCCATTTCAAGACCAACGACTGGTCGACGGTCGTGGGCACACGACCATCTCTGAGTATCAGCATCATATTTTATCTGCCTCACCCCATGACTTTCAAATTCCGCTCCACATACTCCTCCGAATAACGTCTGTTCTTCTTTTCTCTCCTTCTCCTCCTAACACTGTCTGTCTTATCTTTCCCCTCCTTCTAATGTACTGTCTCTACTCCGAACATTTCGTATCATGTACCTGTCACTCCTTTCATTTTTCTTCTTCTCAGTTCTTTTTGGTGTGTTTTATGTCCCCATGACGTCGAGACCTCAGGTCGACTGAGGGCAAAACGCCTCACCATCGCTATGCTCCCACTATGCAATATTTTGTCTTTGCCTGTGAGCTGTGATCACTGTAAAAAAAATTAAAAAATGTAGATCTACATTGTACTACCGGTGCAGTGGAATCTGTTTAAGACGACCGCTCATGTGACCTTCAAAGCGTGGTCTCTGTTACCAGGTGGTCTCCCTATACAGGGTCAATTGACTGGAAATAGCATCACTTGGTCCTGGTTTCAGTGGTCTTCTAGGACAGGTGGTCGCCTTAACCTTTCTTTTGTTCTCTATAATCTAATGTATCTTCTACCTCTTCTCCCTTACGAACATACTTTCTCATTTTCCATACTTACTTAGGAGACTCCCTTCGATAGGCATCTATTTGCCTCTGGAGGATCCGTGAAATAAAAAATCAATCAATCAATCAATCAATTATCCGAGTGGTCGCCTTGACAGGTTTTTCTGTATACCAGTCCTATCAATAGTCCATAAGCGTTTTATGGACTCTTGGTCCTATCCTATCACCAATACTGTTTTCACTGTGCATGGTTTTGATCGCTCTGCGGTGGTGATAGCGCGTGTCAAATCTAACATCGGACACAAGTGACAAACCGTCGACACACATGTATTTAGAAAGTCATTGGCAGTGACATGACGTGCGATCGCTTTTCCCCATCACGTGACATGACACGTGTCATTGCACAATGCATTCATGCCTTGGGAGTGGTGTCATGCGCATTGGGACACCCAAGTCATTCCGCTGTGTTTTGGTTCCGAATCGCGGAATGACTTGGGAATGGTGTCCGAATGAACAAACGCAACCTTAGTTGCGGATAAGTGGACCCTAACTTGCCTAAGGTCTAACAAATGAATCTTGTGCAAGCCGCGCGGCTACAATCATGTACGCAGACTAGGATAAAAGAAAATCTGATTTTCGGAGTCTGCCGCGGCTAATACATAGTAATAGCACTGGTGGTGTTATATTTTAGCATAGCGGTTGGTCGTGTGAATGCTCCACTCCAGCACGTAGACTACGTGCTTGTTATAGAGGATGTAGACTACGTGCAAGTGACGGCAGCTCAAGGAGTCGCACTGGCTACGTTGTACTTGTACTTGTAGTATAGTGGGTGTACCAGAGTACCTTGACCTGGCTCCGAAATAATCATTGTCGAGCCATGGCTGAAAACATCGACCGCGACGCAACCGTAGGTTCTGCGAGCGAGAGTCCACTGAGTCTGTTGCTACAGTTAGTGCTCTCTCCAAGCAAGTGGGATGTCGTCACCATTCTCCTAGTAGTGGTTGTCTACGTAGCATACAGGTCAGTCCCAGAAGAGAGAGAGAGAGAGAGAGAGAGAGAGAGAGAGAGAGAGAGAGAGAGAGAGAGAGAGAGAGAGAGAGAGAGAGAGATGTGAAAACAATAATTAATTATCTCAGAGTCTTTTGGTCGCATCATAAGTGTACAGTAACGTGAGTGGGCCATAGAAGCCCATTGAGAGAGAGAGAGAGAGAGAGAGAGAGAGAGAGAGAGAGAGAGAGAGAGAGAGAGAGAGAGAGAGAGACACATGTGAAAACAATAATTCATAATTAATTATCTCAGAGTCTTTTGGTCGCATCATGAGTGTACAGTCACGTGATTGGGCCATACAAGCCCATTGCGACCGGCACCTGTTAGTATACTACAGTAAAACCTGTAGCTAAAGACCACCGTGACTAGCGACCATCCTGGTACTACAGGCCACTTCGCCAGGCACGGACGGTTATAATTATTATGGTTATGCAGTGTAGACCTCTAGCTAAGGACCACCTGCAACTAAAGACCGCTTTCTCTGACCCCAAGGGGTGGTCGTTAGTCGCAGGTTTTACTGTATAAGAAGGACTATGCCAGTCGAAGCTTACCGTCTTTTTCGGAGCATAAGCCGCATTTTGAACACTCAAAATCCACCCCAAAATGGGGTGCAACTTAATGATATACATATACTCCGATGATCAAATTAACGGTGATAAATAGGGTGTATGTCTGTATTTCGTGGGAAAAAATGGGGGCTGTGGCTTATCCTCCAGTACGGCTTATAGATTATGCTCCAGTGCGGCTTATCCCCCAGTGCGGCTTATCCTCCAGTGCAGCTTATACTCCAGTGCGGCTTATATTCCAGTGTGGCTTATACTCCAGTGTGGCTTATCCTCCAGTGCGGCTTATCCTCCAGTGCGGCTTATTATTCTATTATTCTTTTATTCCACGATGGCGTGACGCCAATAAGGATGATTGATAAGTGCGATAGAACTGGTACTAGCCAGAAACAGCTAGATGGAAATTAACCGGGGAGGCAAGAAGCAATGGATCATGAAAAACAAGCGGGGGCACATCACCCAAAATTCGCTGAAAAATCGAATTTGTAAATTCATATTGAGTGCTACGTCAGTTGAAAGAGCATGAATAGCTGCAAATTCTCTGAAAACTGTGTCCCTATCTGACCAGCCGTTCAAGAGTTATGGCCGAAAATGTGCCCTTGCAAGGAAAGATTTTTTTGTTGGATGCTGTCATTTGTTGGCAGCACTGTATTTGAATGTGAGCAGACCGTGCGCAACTTGTCGTATTATGGAAACACGCGAAAGTGTGCAGAATTTTGCCCCGAGTCCAAAAAAGTCCAAAAAATCACGTTAAAAAACCACGTATTGGGCTGCACGGCGGCGGGCGAAGTCCGCCGCCGTGCAGCAGTACTTTTGCCAGCACCCTCGTGACGTTGCAGATATGTTGCTTGATTATTGTACATGTAGTTGACGTTGATTTAGTGACTTTGGCAAGTTTGAGTCGTGTCAAGAAGTCAGGTAGGATTCAGTACTAGGCAGTAGTGAAACGTGAGTGGCAGTCTTTGCCGGTTTCTGAGGGCATCCTGGATTTGGTGTGCAGCGCTGTGGAAATGGCTTGCTGTGGAGGTCCCAGCACTGGATGTTGTATCAAAGGTACGACCTCGTAGCACGTGCTAAACCTAAAAAAAATTCAAAAATTGACTTGGGCCTGTGGGAGTCCGCGAGAGAACGCCCACTCGTTCCGTTGTGACAGATTCCAGGGCCACGTAGAGGGGCCCTACCCCACCACCCATGGCTGCTTCTGGACTTGTTTTAGGTTTGGGTCCCGCGCACGGACAGAATGGGCACGAAAATGTGAAAAAAATGTAAATGCATTTGTTTGGCTCCTGGGTGGCTCGCACACCGTGGCACTATGCCGGAAATTTGAGTTTTTCCGGCCTGGAAAGCCTGTCAGTGAGGCGCAAGAACTTGTAAATCATGTCCTGAGGACCAGCATAGTGGCAGGAGTGTGTGGTCAAAATTTCACTCAAATCCACTGAGAAACACCAAAGTTGCGGTCAATTGAATGCGAAATTTTTGGGTGATGTGCCCCCTTAAGTACACGTTCGAGATATCAGAAACCAGGGGGATGCCCGGGGCAGGAACAGGTACTGCTCAAAAGAAGACTGGGTGCATTGTTTGGGAAAGAATTTCTACGAGGTTGGGTTGTGATGTCGATAGGGAGTGAGTTGTAGAGGGTGAGGGCACTGTTGATGGGGGAATCTCGGTGCCTGTTTGTGTGTGCGTGTCCGATGGATTAGGTCCTTGTCTGTCGAAGGGTGTATGGTTGGTGTTGACGTTGTGGTGCAAGATGTGGTTGTTGCAGGTGTGGTGGGGAGGTTTGGTGGTGGATGTCCCATGCTAGTAGGACTTGTTTAACAAGGAGTCGTGAGCTAAGGGTGGGGAGCTTTGCATGATGGTGGAGGGAACTGTGGTGAACTGGTGCAAAGAGGGGAATCCGAAGGCAGATGCGTATAGCACGGCGTTGAATTCTCTCCAGTGTGTCCCGCTGTTGCTGAGTGGTGTTGGAGAGGGCAAGGCTGCCATATTCGAGAACGGGTCGGATGTAGGTCGTGTATATTAACAATAGGCTGGAAGCGTTCATTGTGCCACGTGTCTTGTGGAGTTGGTGTAGTAGTTTTTTTGGCTTTGTTGGTGGTTTCTATGATGTGTTGGGTCCATCGCATATCGTCTTGGAGTGTAACACCAAGGTGCCTATGTTAGTGGACCTACTGCAGCCGAGTCGAGTGGAGCGTGATGTGGAGGGTGTGTTGGGGCTGGAAGGAAAGGACGACGGTTTTCGTGGTGTTGACGAGGAGATGCCAATCCTTCAACCATTGTCCTGCTGCGTCCACGGCACTTATACTCCAGTGCGGCTTATACTCTAGCGCGGCTTATGCTCCGGAAAATACGGTAGTTATTGCACAGTCTTGTACTATACACAATGTGTCCGATTTCCAAGGTTTTCAGTAGCGTAGCATCACTATCTTTAGTGAAGCAATTCTATGAGAAGAACGGAGCTGTATACACCGGATCACCGGCACAGCTTCATGCACTTGCAGTTTAGAAAGATGTGAATAGCGATGCGTTCAGAGGCATTTCCAGATGATACCATACTCTACTGCTTGAGGTGTGTGTGTAAAAAAAAGAAGAACAAATTTAAAAAAAGGGATTCATTGGCCAGAAAAAGCCACTTCAACAAGCCATGTGGTGTAGACCAGGCTAAAATTAGTGGCGGTCAATTCATCAGCCTTGCAAGCTGTTGAATGGTGTAATCCCAGCACAAGTTGCTATGTCTAACATAGCTTGTTCGCAATCATCGCTTCAGCGCTAGGCAGGAGTATGAGTATGTGTGTGTGTGTGTGGGGGGGGGGGGGGGGGGTGTCTGTGTGAACAATGGGGCCTTCCTATAATGCCTGCTCTACTTGCAGAAGGAAACAATTGACTTTAGCTGCATCGTTACGTTGGTCAAAACTGAAGAAAACCATCCGGGAGCTCCTTTCAGGGTAAGATATCTATTCACGAACTGTCCTGTAAGGAACCAGTCAATTGTCTGCAATTTTTTCAAAACAAAATTGTGCACTTTCTCCCCCCCCCCCCCATTTCCCCAGCATGCACATACATACATGTACAGTACTTTATTATTATTATTATTTTATTTTATTCCAAGCAATACATGGCTGGGGTAGCCAATGACCACTTTGCGTGGCGATTGCAGGGTTTTTATAGCTTTTATGTTTCCATTGTTATATGGCAATAAGGAGGACGAGCTGAACTGACATTGGATTACTTTATTAAACAATGCCAAGCGGTGGAGACGATGCGAAAACAATGTAAAAACTCAAAAGGAACCTTTATTATGTGAGGTTTGAGCGGCATAACGAGTTTCATAGTGGATAATATCTGGAAATCCCAGGTTTTTGGCAACAATCATGATTATGAGATGATGTCTGATGATTGGTTTTTGTCATGAAACTCTGAATAACAACGAAACAGCCCTATTTTACTCCTTTTGTGCACCTCTTGCGTACTACGCTCCGCCCATTGCGGGCGTTTGAGCACTATGCATTGTACCGGCGCATGACTTTGTGATTGTGTAGACACGTAACACCTTTAGCACTAACGCTACATAACTATTGCTACATAAAAACGTTATGATCGTAGCGATGTGGTCAGGTAAATGTATACAGTACAAGCCATTTGTGAAGCATGCCCAACCGAGGCCGCGCCAAGGCAGTTCAAGTGACACAAATCCGGAGAAAATATTTACGAGGTTTCTTTTACTTTTAGAATAATGGAGAGCTATGGAGGAGACATACGCGAAGTGAATATCAAACAGACGAAGAAGAGTTTTCTAGTTGTGCCAGAGGCTCTGGCGATAGCATCTCTAGCGATACTGAAGTAGACACTGATGCATTGCTAAATTTGGACCAGGATGAAGGAGTGGCTATAAACAGAAAGAGCTCGTTCCAAAAGAACTGCCTTTGCCGAGTCCAGCTCAGGAGGCTCGAAAAGAACTAGAATTTCTCATGGACTCAGTACCAAGTCGATTGCTCAGCAACGCCTGTCTTACTTTCCTGATGAAGCACGTCCAGTTAGTTGTGGACGGTTGTAATACCAGGCCTACAGTCAAGTGCTATCAGAAAGGAAGAGTATTGTGGCAAGCCATACGTCTACACACCATCTCAACTCAGGAGAAGATGAGAGCACAAGCAAAGGATGTACAGTGGCAAAATAACTTCTGACCACGTGTTTTCAGGATTTCCGCAAATGGGAGGGCTCTCCATCTGAGACCGGATCTCAGGAGCTGGCCTCACGTCTGGTGTTTCAGATGAAGACATTATTCACAGAGTGGACGCAGTGGCAGCTTGTATGCAGGCAGGAATACTATTTGCAAAGATAAACTTCATCCCAACAATGAATGACTACCTGCAATAATGGTTTCATCTCTCACTACATGATAATTAGGGG